CTATAAATCTTACGGCAAAGTAGTTGTATATATATGTTTAATGTTCATATTTATTAATGTTATTTTATTCTATTTTATTCTTTCTAGTATATGTAATTGGTTTGTAGTAATTTTTTATTAGTTGTAATTTTGTTTTAATTATTATCATGAATATTATAAATAGTGCCCTCTCTCTCCCCCCCTTTTATATATGTATTTTTGGTGCCACTGAAAACCAGCTGTATGTCCACCTAGGACATACATTAAAGCTGAGTGGAGCCATTTCAGTGCATTTTTGGATGTAAAAAATGATTATTTTATGTTTATTTTTAATTATGGTAAATTAAGTTTAATTATATGTACATTTTATTTGCTCATTTTTTTTTTTTTTTTTCTCGTTTGTTGTTTATATTGTATTTTTGTTACATTGCACTGAATAAAATATTTTTCTTTCTTTCTTTTCTTTCTTTCTTTCTTTCAAAAATAACGAATTTCCATACTATTCCATACAACTCAATCATGAGCATAAAAATATTTTTGAGGTTGCTAACTTTAAAAATGACGATACTTCTATTCAAACTTTTACAACCCTTCTAACCCTCTTCATTTATATTTAATAAACAGTTTAAAAAATAAGTTTCAAACTCCTAGATTTAAAAATTACGATACATTCATACAATCTTACATCGTGGAGATGCAAGGTTGTATGGAATGTAAATGTTGAATGGGATGAACTTGTATGGAAAAATCGTCATTTTTGAAGCTAGAACGATGAAACTTTTTATTTGTCTACTTTATGTTAGAATATATTTTTTTTTTATTTGGTCAAGGTCTCTATAACACCCGATAGAAGTCATGGGCACAGGTAGTAAAATATAAATGAATCATTTTAGTTCCGAAGTGTACGATAGATGGCGCTACTGTAGCATTTACACTATTTTCTACATCGCGATGTTAAGATTTTTTCGCTCCGAATGACTACCCCAGGGCGAAGTAGTGTATTCATACTTACCTGGCGTAGGGGACACCGTGATCAAGAAGGCGGTTCCCCCAGGATGAGGCCCTCCCATTGCACTGCGGTTGGGTTGACCCCTGCGATTATCCCTAATGTGGATAACTCGGACGCGTAATTTTTGGTAGTGGGGACTGCGTACGCGCCGTCCCCCTCAAAAGCTTAAAAATATAGAATTTTATTACTGAATAAATGGCCAGTACTAAAATTATTTAGTGCATTTATATATATATATATATATATATATATATATATATGGTAAATTACTTAATTAATTTCTGAGAACAAAGTAACCTATTCAAATCAAAAAAATAAATAAAATAAAAAAGTATATGTATTTCTTTTTAATTCAATTAAAATATTAAGATTAATTTAATATTAAAATATAAATAGAATTAAAAAGAAATATGCTTTTTTATTTTAATTATTTATTTCATTTGAATAGGTTACTTTGTTCTCAGAAATTAATACACAATTCCATATTCAGTTACATTTTAAACAAATTTAAATTTATGTTTAAATCCGTTTGTTAAAATTAAATTAATAAATTTAAACATTAATAATGAATATAATAATTATTTCCAAAGAATGAAATGACAAAATAATATGTATGTCCAAAACTGAGTCAGATAAATTTATATGTAATAATAACAATTTATAATTTTCAGGTATAGTAAATAATTTGTTTCAGGTCGAAATTCATTGTACTATAGAATAATATTCTGCACTGTATGTATATAAAAAAATTAAGCCAAGGATTCATCCTAAAAACTAATCTTATTACTAACATTATTATAAACGCGAAAGTAACTGTCTGTCTGTCTCGCTTTCACGCAAAAACAACGACTCAACTACTGAACCGATTCAAATGAAATTTCTTACACATATAGTCTAGACCCTGAGAAAGGACATAGGCTACTTTTTAATGCGAAAAAAGGGTTCTAAGGGATAGAAAGGGGCTATGCAAGTTTGTATGGAAGGATCGTCATTTTTAGAGCTAGAAGACTGAAACTTAGTTTTTAGGCTGTTAACTGAGTTGTTCTAGAACAATGAAACTATTTTATTGGGTTAGATTATTAAATATTTTTTCATTATTTGGTTAAGGTCACTTGTTTACGCAGACGAAGTCGCTGATATAGCTAGTATTGTTAAAAAATGTTATTTTACAGCAGCACTTTTTGCCGCTGGTCTAACTATAATTTATTTCGCGCGCCATCAACTGTTATGGAAAAATGAATGTGAATAGTTGGAGCTTCAACACCATCGTTCATCGTTATATTGGATGTAATATTGTTACTTTGTTCGATGACCAATCGGCTGAAACGACGGCAAATATTTGCAAAAACACCATGGTCAGTGTTGTGAAGTCAAAGCGCCTACTTATTTTATTTACGCAAATACTACACTTTTGCGATTTGTGCTCATACAATTTTGTAGTTTTTATTAAGTTAAAAATATAGAAGTCGTACAAGTTACTCTGCGTCTTTTAATTTCATTATTCCCGAAAATCCGCTATGATTACTCCAGAACATGGTCCTATATCGAAGCCGGATGTGAATTAAATGCGGATCAGTTATTATTTTGTGGAATTAAATCGAAATACAAGAAATAAAAGAGAAATTAATTGGATGCAAGTTGACCGGCAGAACTACCTACCATTGGATGTGAATCGAGTGTAATTTATAGTGGTGTTAAGTATAAATTACTATATAATAAACTTATCCCAACACTCTACAGGTAATATTATAAGTAAATCAAAAACTTTATTAAGGTTAGTAAACGATAATTACGTTATTTATCTGTCACATTATTTTAACTTCATTGGTTTCCTACCTACTGCATTGTGAATAATATTAGTACTTTTTCATAATTTGCTAAAATTAACTACAAATCTACTTAATTAAGTATAGTAAGCACTAATGCTACATTGTTTGAGTTAATTATCAAAATATATGCCTTATAATTGCAAATTTCAATAGTTATTCACGTCAGTTGTATGTAAGTAAAGTAGGTATAACTAATTCTTTTGTGTTAAATGTTACTTTGGTGTTTGGTGTTTAATTTTATTGTCAGGTTCTATATTATATTACAATTTAGGTACTTAAGGAATCTGTACATTTATGTTAAACAAATAATTTGCCGTATGTACGACAGCAAGTTAAGAAACAATCTAGTATTTTCTCTATTAATGTCAATTTGAATCGGTACTTATGCTTGTGCATATGTAATATATGTAATGTCACAACATTTACAGTACATTTACTAGATTTATATAATATACATATAAATATATTTCTTTATCGAATTAACATATTGTTAGCTTAATATTTTGTATTCATACCTATTGATCGTAGATCTTTATTTCATTAATTAGAATTAATTTTTTAAGTGTATAAATTCCAGGTCGACAACACTCGAATCCCATAATGACCGAAGAAAAGGAGTTAATAAAAAAGCGAGGCAGTTTTAAAGGCCGTTTAACTGCATTTATTAATTATTTGTATACACTAACTGATGAACCGTTAAGTCTCTCGGATGCCAGAGAATTACAATTACGTATGGGTAAAATTGAGTCGTTGTATGAACAGTATGATCAGGTACAGTTGCGCCTTGAATGTATAGTTGATAATAGTGAAGAGCAATTTAAAGAGCGCTCCGACTTTGAATCACAATATTTCAAGGCAATCGCGAAAGCCCAAGGTTTACAAAATGTTAATGTTGAGACTATGAGCAATATGGGTAGTGATGGAGGTACTCGAGCGAGCAATAATCATAAGCTGGTGCGTCTTCCGACCATCCAGCTACCGCGATTCAGTGGTTCATACGATGATTATTTGGAATTTAGAGACACCTTTACTAGCCTTATACACAACAATGATGAAATAGACGAAGTGAATAAATTTCACTATTTGCGTGCATCGTTAGAGGGTTCTGCTGCCGTGGTAATTCAATCAGTTGAGTTTTCATCTAGTAATTATGCTGTTGCGTGGAAACTTTTGTGCGATAGATTTGACAACAAACGTCTGTTGATACAAAATCATGTGTCTTCTTTGTTCAATGTGGAAGCAATAACAAAGGAGTCATCAGCAAATTTAAAGCGGTTAATTGATCAGTTCATGGCAGTCATCCACATCAGAATTCCAATACAGCAGAATCACATAATCGAATCTGCCCTAAGTGTAAGGGTGACCATAGTCTAACCGGTTGCCCCCAGTTTCTTGCGTTGAGCGTTGAAGCGCGCCTAAAGGTACTACCCAGTTTTAAGGTATGTTTCAATTGCTTTCGTGTAGGTCATTTTGCTAATCTATGCAAAAGGCCAGGTTGCAAAATATGCAAGCGTCGACACAACACTCTGATTCATGCAGCCAATGATCATCATATTCGTAATGAAAATAGAGTCGTATCTGAAACTACACATTTAGCGTCGTCTTCAACGACTGCTGCTTCTGACAATGTAACTTTAGCAGCAAATATGTCTAGTTATAATAAAATTCAATGTGATGTATTATTATCTACTGCGTTGGTAAAATTATATGACAAGAATAATCACGAACATATAGTACGTGCAATATTAGACAGTGGTAGTACATCAAGTCTAATGACTGAGAGATTGTGTCGACAATTAAATTTGGAAACCTGTCAGGTAGATAAGTCAATCATGGGTGTAAATAACGCAACTTTACGCGTAGGCAAAACTTGTCATGTGCACATGACGTCGTTGAATAACAGTTTCTCTTCTGAGCTTCAATGTTATGTTTTGCCATCAATCACAAGTAATGTACCCGGTCACGAAATTAATATTTCTAATATTGACATCCCTACTGACATTAGTTTGGCGGATCCTACGTTCTTTGTACCAGCAGATGTTGATATCTTGATTGGTGCCGATCTCTTTTGGGATTTGGTAGGGACGCGGAGAATAATATTAGGTAAGAAAAAGCCTGTATTGTGCGAAACCAGATTAGGGTGGATAATTTCAGGTCCTATCTTTAGTCATCATGACACAATTATGCATTTAAATGATATAAAATGTAATTTTAATAAAATTGATTCTAGTGCAAGTCATGATTTGGACGACATTCGAGCTGACTTGACACGATTCTGGCAGCTGGAAGAGATATGCTCCAAATCAAATTATTTTCCGGAAGAAAGAATGTGTGAGGAACATTTTGTTGCGAACACAACGCGCCTCGATGACGGTCGTTTCTGCGTCCGTATACCGCTTAAACATGATTCTTCTGTTTTAGGTAATTCGTTTCATCGAGCGGAACACTGTTTATTTTCTTTAGAGCGTAGGTTGACGAGCAATCTTGAATTGAGAGATATGTATAGCAACTTCATGACAGAGTATAAATCGCTTGGCCATATGTCAGAATATAAACAGCCTGAGGTAGATGAAAAGGAATATTTCATTCCTCATCACGGTGTTATGCGAGATAGTAGCACGAGCACCAAACTCCGTGTTGTATTTAATGCCAGTTCTCCTACGACCTCAGGTGTTTCTTACAATGACATCCAATTGATTGGTCCCACCGTCCAAGATGATTTGATATCCATATTGCTTCGATTTAGGCAGCATAAATATGTTTTGTCTGCAGATGTTGAAAAAATGTACAGACAAATAATTGTCCACCCGTCTGATAGACATCTACAGCAAATACTGTGGCGTAGTAATGTAGCTGAGCCAATTACAAAATTCATATTGAACACGGTCACTTATGGAACATCCAGTGCTCCATTTCTGGCTACACGCTGTCTAAAGCAGTTAGGAATCGACTGCAAGGATGATAAAATTTCCGAGATCATTCAACATGATTTTTACGTTGATGATCTATTAACGGGCGGTAACGATTTGGCTGAAGTTCAAGCTATACGTAAGCAAGTTACTAATGTACTTGCTTCTGCATGTATGCCATTAAGAAAATGGAAATCGAATAATCCTCTTTTGATGATTGATCCTCAGGACGTTCAAGCATCATCATTCGATTTGAATATTGGGAGTGATGAGCCAAATAAGTTATTAGGTCTTAGTTGGCACACAGAATCTGATGAACTCTGTTTCCCAATAAGTTCTCTAGTTCCTAATGGTAATACAAAACGTGATATTCTTTCGATGATTGCTCGAATTTTTGACCCATTGGGACTTTTGGCTCCATGCATAATTAATATGAAAATATTGTTACAGCAGCTTTGGATTAAAAAATTAGCTTGGGACGAACCATTAACTGATGATATTAATCGTCATTGGAATTACATTCGTAAAACTTTGCCTCTTTTGAACGATCTTCGTGTACCGAGGATTGTTATTTGCGACTCCTGTAAGTCGTTAGAGTTGCATGTTTTTTCGGACGCTTCAGAGCGTGCATATGGAGCTTGCATTTATTTGCGTAGCGTCAGTACTTCTGGTGAAGTTATGGTTCGATTGTTAATGGCTAAGAGCCGAGTAGCTCCTATTAAGCCTACCACAATACCTAGGTTGGAACTGTGCGGTGCGTTGATGGGAGCGCGGCTATATGATAAGGTCATCACGTCGCTTAGATCGGGAATAGATCAAGCTTACTGCTGGACAGATTCCACCATAGTTTTAGGTTGGTTACGTATGCTGCCTTCTAGACTTCAGCCTTTTGTACGTAATCGTGTTGCTGAAGTCTTAGAAAGGACAGAAAATTGTACATGGCGACACGTACCAACTGATGAAAACTCAGCAGATCTAATATCTCGTGGTGTGGATATTAGTAATCTGCAAGGTTTAAACTTATGGTGGTCTGGTCCGCAATTTCTCATGAATGACTTGTCGAAGTGGCCTACGCAACTGAAGTGTGTTGAAGTTCTCCCAGAAATTAAACCAGACATATCTCTAAATGCTATTGTTATTAACAATAACAATTCCCGTGGGCTCATTGAATTTAGTCGCTTTTCTAATTATTTAAGACTATTGCGATCAGTTGCCTATGTTTTAAGATTTATCAAATATTGTAAAAAGGTACTTGTAGTATCAAATTTTTTAGAAGAGGTAGACTTACGCGACGCCTTAGTTTTAATTATTTCAAATAGTCAATATGAATCCTTTGCCGAGTACAAGTTACTGTTAAATAATGATAATTTGCCAAAAAACAGTCAACTATTAAAACTGAACGTCTTTATGGACGAAAATAAATTAATGCGCGTCGGAGGTCGTATTGATAATTCAAATTTTTCACAAGATAAAAAACATCCTATAATTTTACAGTCCAGTCACATTTTTACAAAATTATTATTTATTTATGAGCATAAACGGCTAATGCATGCCGGTCCTCAATTGTTGCTAGCATCTATAAGAGAAAGGTATTGGCCTATAGGCGGGCGAAATTTAGCGAAAACCTGTTATCACAATTGTATCAGATGTACACGCATGAAGGGTAAAATTGTAACCCCCCTGATGGGAAATTTACCACGGCAGCGCCTACTTTCTGGTGGCTATCCCTTTGAAACGGTCGGTGTCGATTATGCCGGACCTATTATGTCCGCTAGTCGACAAGGCCGCGGTTGTAAGCTAGTAAAGGTTTATATTTCAGTTTTTGTTTGCTTCACTACCAAAGCTATTCATTTAGAGTTGGTAGGCGATTTAACTAGTAATAATTATATACTTGCTTTACGTCGATTCATTTCGCGAAGAGGTAAACCTGTCAATATTTATTCCGATAATGGTACCTCATTTGTGGGTGCATACAACGACATTTCAAAATTTCTAAAGACGAATTGTAATTCTTTAGGCGAAAGTGCAGCCTGTGATGGCATTGACTTCCATTTTATTCCGGCGTATGCTCCTCATTACGGAGGTTTATGGGAAGCGGGTGTAAAGTCGACAAAATACCACTTACAGAGAGTGTTGGGTAATTGTACATTAACCTATGAAGAGCTTAACACCACTCTCATACAAATTGAAGCAGTGCTGAACTCTCGACCCCTGACACCACTTTCTTCGGATCCTGCGGACTATAATCCATTAACCCCAGGCCATTTTTTAATTGGGCGGTCTCTGACTTTTTTGCCAGACCGAGATTATCAAAGACATTCCACAAATAATTTAACAAGGTTCCAACGCATTGAGCAATTACGACAACATTTTTGGGCTAGATGGAGCAAAGAGTACATTGCAGAATTGCAACAACGTGTTAAGTGGCGTACTTGCAAGGATAATTTAAAATTGAATACGTTGGTAGTAATTAAGGAGGATAATCTTCCGCCATTAAAGTGGAAATTGGGAAGAGTTGTGGGAGTTCATCCTGGTCTTGACGGCATAGTACGGGTTGCTGATATCCGGACATCCACTGGAGTTATTCGGCGAGCCTTTAGCAAAATCTGCCCATTACCAGTATCATCGGAGTCTGATTGAAAGCGCAGCTTTCAATGCCGGGGGGCATGTTGTGAAGTCAAAGCGCCTACTTATTTTATTTACGCAAATACTACACTTTTGCGATTTGTGCTCATACAATTTTGTAGTTTTTATTAAGTTAAAAATATAGAAGTCGTACAAGTTACTCTGCGTCTTTTAATTTCATTATTCCCGAAAATCCGCTATGATTACTCCAGAACAGTCAGTATGACGTATTTGTAACAGAATATCTGTGTTATGTTATATGATCTTCGGGCTAGAGGATTTTTTCGTTAAAATAACAACAAAAAAAGACATAATAATATAATAAACGCATTATCTAGACATATAAATAAAATTAGACTGTCTGTTTGTAATATTGAAGTAACCGTTTTTTACTAAATGCATATGAATATGAATACGGTACATACACCAATATTGTAGAACGGTACACACACAAAAACTGTAGAAAACGTATCTACAGTTTTTGTCTGGTCAGACAGACAGTGTCCGTTTGTTCCGGCTAATCTCTGAAATGGCTGGACCGATTTTGACGGGTAGCTGATTTTATAAGGAGTAACTTAGGCTACTTTTATTTTAGAAAAATAAAGTTAAATTCCACGCGGACGAAGTCGCGGGAACAACTAGCCTAATGTATAAAATTTTAGTGTCGAGGTGTTTGTCATCAAACTCCTCCGAAACTTTACCGATTTTTATGAAATTTTGCGTTAATATCGGATGTTGGCAATATTATCAAATTGTAGTTGTAAATGGCCATATTGCTTTTTATTCTCTCTAATTCGTGATGTTTAAAATAAGAACTAAAGAATAGAATAGAATAGAATAGAAAATCATTTATTCAAATAAACTTAATTTAAGCACTTTTGAATAGTCATAACAATTTGTTTTTTATCTACCACTCGTTCGGAAAGTGTTATCCAAAAGACTATTTTATTTTTTCACTATATTTGATGAAAGTTATTCCCCAGATCGGCTCGGTCAGAGAATCGGCTATTTATACCCCTCAATCATAAGCGTGACCACCCTTATCCTTAAAACATATATTTTTTATACAAATATTTTTATTTTTATTGTATTGTGATTTAGCATTGAAGAATACATACAACTATTCACACTTTACGTTCAACTCCTGTTTTTATAGTTATTAGTACTGCAATGTATATACATTATACTATTACTACTGTAGCCGATACAGTTAAGCGTGGAGTGGTGAAATATTCAGTAATGAAAATCGATAGAAGTGTACAGCTGTCCGTGTCGCTTGCGCATATATAGCGTGAGGATAGTGGATGCGTTCGCGTGCGGTGCGAGGGAAGTGATAACTGCTATAGGTGTCGCTATCTACGCACAAGCGGTGGGATCAATTTAATTACCAAACAAGTAGGTATACAGGTATGTAACATTGAATTTTACAGATACACCCTACAAACGAACAATATATTTTACCAGTGAAACATCAATTTATACATATATATAGTAAAAGGTAAGTATGGATTTATATATACATTATGGTTATTTCTATATGTTTTATGTGTTTTTATTTTTATTAATATTTTAGTTTTATTTTACAGGTCCGGTTCGCAGTCGCGAGGCACGTCGGCTACAACTACTTAGCTTACTTTAGATACTAGCTGATCCAGCAAATGTTGTTTTACTATTTAGTAAAACAACGTTTGCTGGATCAGCTAGTCTAAATATATATAACTCAAAGGTAACTGACATAGTGATCTATCAACGCACAGCCCAAACCACTGGACGGATCGGGCTGAAATTTGGCATGCAGATGGATGTTATGACGGATGCCTACCGCTAAGAAAGGATTTTGATTAATTCTACCCCCAAGGGGATAAAATAGGGGAAGAAAGTTTGTATAAAACTTTGTCAATTTTAAATCGATCGGGCTGAGACTTTGCATGCATAAAGCTACTACAACGTAGGCATCCCCTAAGATAGGATTTTGATAAATTCCACACCTAAGGGGACAAATTAACGCGAGCGAAGCCACGGCCAAAAGCTGGTACATAAATATATTAGTTTGTTATATATTAAAATAAGTGTAATTTTCAAAATTTTGTATTTTCTTCACGTATTAATATTATATAGATTACACAGTAATGTTTCATCACTTTATCATAATTATACAATAACATCACAAATACGCAAAAAGGTAATAATATATATTATACCTCTTAAGTAATCTTTCCACTAAGGAACAAAGGAAAGGAAGTTTTCACTCCTTTATCAGACTTAATGTTCTCAGAAAAAAGCAACATACATTAACGCAACGAATGGCAAAAAGGCAGGCAGGTAACGAATTAACCCTGGTAGCTCGTTAATCGTTCAAACATTCAGCCCAGGCCGACTGGAGTGACGTAAACTTGAGCACATACGGTAGTTTATTTTAACCGGACAAGTTATGCTAACTTAGTAACTGGTAAATAGTAATAATGATGATAATAATAATCTCAGGACAATTCACACAGCGCCATCTAGACCCAAGTTAAGCTAGCTAAAGCTTGTGTTATGGTTATGATAAATACTCAAATACATTTTAGTACTAGTACACTTAACACAAGTTCTGCTTAGCTTGGGACTAGATGGCGCTGTATAATTATCTCGATTTATTATTATGGTAGAATATAAATGTTTTCATCAACTTACGACCTCGGTGGTATAGCGGTCTAGCACACCGCTTTAAGTTCGATGGTCGCGGGTTCGATCCTTGCACGGCGCAAACATTTGTATTCATGAGTATGATTATATGTATCGGTCTGGGTGTTTTCAATGTATAATATGTATGTATTTACGAAAAAAAATTATCTATATATTTGTATCACTTATCTAGTACCCATAACACAAGCTTTAGCTAGCTTAACTGGGGTCTAGATGGCGCTGTGTGAATTGTCCTGCGATTATTATTATTATTATGTATAATACACATAGAAAACACTCTGACCAATACAAACAATCATACACATTGCTAGCAATGGGGTTATTAGTCCACTTTACTAACAATACGCTTCCCTCTCCCATCTGCAACCATGCCCTTTGTTTACAGCATCTTGCGAAAGAAGATCTGAATATGGCGACTGATAGTGCCATTGTAGTAGCCGATATCTGGTCAAAATATAGAATAGAATAGAGGAAAAAAAAATATGGAAATAAGCTCACATTGAAGCACTTTTGAATTCATTCATCAAGTTTATTTTTTTAATCTATCGCTCAATCGGATAGCTGTCACAAGTAGAACGAGCAAGTAACTTGCATGCACGCAAGTTACTTGCGTATTGCTTGCGTATTGTTTTAATAAATATTTTAGTTGTCACATTACATTCTGAATACAAACTACCAACTAGATCACAAAAAGATCAAGCAAGTAAATTGCATGTTACAGTTTTAAATTATTATTATTATTATTATAACACTTTATTGCACCAACATATAAAGGACATGAACAAATTAAAAATAAAAAAAAAACTAAGTACCAAAGGCGGTCTTAACGCTAATGCAATCTCTTACAGACAACCTTTGGAAAGAGAGTATTTACAAAAAAAAAAATAGAGTAGGTGGCGCATTAGTAGAAACATAAAAATTGTATACACTTATGTAAACAAAATAAAATATAGTACATACACAAATTTACATATATATACATACATATGAATACATAATAATATAATATAGTAATTAGTTATTAACTCACATTCTTAAGTTGAAATGTGTGAATACAAACTACAAACTAGCACTAATTGAATAGAGTTAAACACACAAAGAGAAATTACAACTTGTTTAGATCTATATTTGACACGAAAGAAGATCTAGACACGCGGGAGACTGTCAAAGCCAAGTTCAAGTAAGTGAACTGGCGAGCAGCTCCGTGTGCAGTTTTACACGAACCATCTGGAGCCAGTTTTGATCCCCTTATAACTCAAAAACTCTTTCACATAAAACTGTCAAATTTGGTTCATATATTCAGACTTGCGAGACAAAAATGTGTTCCAAATTTCATAAACACATCTCAAACGGTTATTTAGATATTAACGTCCAAAAATCTTCATTTTTATTACTGACTCAAATATAGATCAAAATTATTACCCAGTTCCAGATGACCTAGGAAGATCAAATTTGCCATGCAGATAGGTAATTAGGTGAACAAAAGAACAAAGGAAACCTAAGGTCTGACTTGGCTAGTTTTCATATACGAATACTATACCTGTTACTTGTCGATTCCTATTTTATTACTATTAGTAACTAGCCATCGAAAGTAATAATTGGTATATGACAACTAGCTAAGTCAGACCTTAGGCTACAATATATTATCCTAAGTTATAGGAAGAAATTATATTTTATATTTATATAAATACATTTCAGGACTTACTATTAAACTTGACACCAATTTAGATCTCACTTCTTTTGTCGTTGAAGTCAACAATCAAGGCATATACAGCGTTACATATACAAGGCATATACAAGTCACATTCAGCGTTACTAGTATGTTTTAGCTTTTAGCTTTTAAGTTGTATAGTATATAAGATAGATAGCATCTAAGAATACTGTAATGCTGAATAAATGTCTTTATTATTATTATTATTATATCATAATATTGAACTTGGCTATTACTTCTCATTTATGTTTTTGATTATTATCACATTCATTGACTTCGCAGTACCGTTCGCGTGCCAGAAACCGTGCCGTATATTCCGTAGCTAAGCGTCAAACGTGTTGCTCATTAGTTTTAATGAGTGCGGCTCGCTCGCACGCGTTCATTAACACGACCCAATTGAGTGGAGATGACGATGAATGAGCTCACCAATTAAATATAGCTTCTTAAATAATCGGGTATTCATTATTGGTGGACTATTGATGGGCTATGTCAGCTGAGAGAGGGTGTAGCGCGGTGGTATCACCTCATCGCTGTACTGTTATATGTGATGTTGAGGTGTCCCTGCATAATGTAATCTCTACTAGCTGTACACACAACTTCGTTCGCGTGGAATTTA